ATAGCAGAAGAAGTAGTTAGAGGGTTTTCGCCACTCAAAGAATAAAATAATGTATTGTAGATGTTTAGTCAACAAGGATGTAGCGAGGTTGACTGTCCAGGCGACACAACGTACTTAGGTATCGTCATGAGCTAATGTTCACATGTAAACAGCAGCTCATGTAGTGTAGATGTCCAGTCAACAAGGATGTAGCGAGGTTGACTGTCCAGGCGACACACGTACTTAGGTATCGTCATGAGCTAATGTTCACATGTAAACAGCAGCTCATGTAGTGTAGATGTCCAGTCAACAAGGATGTAGCGAGGTTGACTGTCCAGGCGACACACGTACTTAGGTATCGTCATGAGCTAATGTTCACATGTAAACAGCAGCTCATGTAGTGTAGATGTCCAGTCAACAAGGATGTAGCGAGGTTGATTGTCCAGGCGACACACGTACTTAGGTATCGTCATGAGCTAATGTTCACATGTAAACAGCAGCTCATGTAGTGTAGATGTCTAGTCAACAAGGATGTAGCGAGGTTGACTGTCCAGGCGACACACGTACTTAGGTATCGTCATGAGCTAATGTTCACATGTAAACAGCAGCTCATGTAGTGTAGATGTCCAGTCAACAAGGATGTAGCGAGGTTGACTGTCCAGGCGACACACGTACTTAGGTATCGTCATGAGCTAATGTTCACATGTAAACAGCAGCTCATGTAGTGTAGATGTAGGAACGAAAAATATAAACATAACTATGTTTTAATTATTATTTTCCTTGAGGGGTGAATAATTATTTTATGATATGGGTGATACCTTCCAGACAACATTTGGATGGAAATTTCAAGTAACCTGGTAATGGGGAGTCTAGTGTACAGTATACAGATTTTTTCTGGAATGGGGAAATATTACTCTAGAGTAGGGCACCCTCCAGCTTGGTGGAGTAACAAAGTCCTCTGTATGTATAGACCCCTGATTTATAGCTCAGACACTGGATATTGGAGAGGTAATTAATTAATGGTTAAGTCTAACTAGATTTATGACTAAAATTGTACGAAAATAAAGACTTATATAAGAACTATAGAGTTATTTTTGCCAGAGTAAGGAGATAGGGTGTTCTTCAGCTGGGTGGGGAGACAATATCCCCTGTGTGGCTAGCAATTGGTGGATGCGAAGAGGTAGAAGTTGAGATCAGAGGCTAGATATTGGAGACATCATTGTTCAGCCTTTGCACAGTAGGCTGAACTCTGTAGCATCCTAAATGTAGGATAATAAACACAATTGTTTTCGTTGATTGAATTTAACTAGATCTGTTCATATAATAACATCAACAGACATACTAAAATTAATGGAAAATAAAGACTTATTATTTGGACTAACTGAAAAAATCTTGAAGAATGATAGGTCAGCCTGTTGCCGTGTACTGAGTAAGATTTTAGACATCAATGACACTCCATGACACCAATAAACTGAAATATTTAATCTTAATGTGTCAAATATTTAAGGTACCTTTAAATTTGTCTTTGATCAGTCAAAATTAATTTTAGATTAAGTTATTATCCCTATTACAATAGAATGATCTGGATTGTTGTTATAATAATGTTTAAAAAGTGACTAATTTTATTTTTTTATTGCTTATGTAAGGAAAGAATTTGGGTTACCTACCTATGGAGTTTCTTTAAGCTTAGATTTTAAGTATATTATTTACTTAACATTGCATTTAATTTAAAGTTACTTAAATTAATTTCATATTTTTTGGCTACTCATTAATAGAATTCAGTATTTTATATTCATTTTAATTTAAAAATCAATGACGAAAATATACGTAAAAAGAAAGCGAAAATCACTTGCTTTTTTTAAATTATCTGTTCCGACCGGAGCACTGATACCAATAAGAACAGCCAATAAACTGGCATTATCTAATTGAAATTCTAAAATCAAGTTAGCGACGTAGATCGAGTATAAATAAATAATTGACTTTAAATTAAGAATTCAAAAGTCAATTAATTCATATCTGCATATTTAAGACAGACGCAGTAGTTTTAAAAGAACTATTTTTAACCACGCCGATCGGCTGAATGAAACGACGTGTCTAAGAAAATAAAAAAGTAATAAATACATACCGATTAAAAAAAAGTTGGTGCAATACGCCGGAAGCAGATTTATGCACTTTTATCACATAAAATCACACTGAAAACTTGTTTTTGTGATTTATTAACACGTTATTTGAATTGACGAAGTTATTTACAGTGATATTACCGCATAGTACATGTCTACGCGGGTAGGAAATTCAAATGAAAATAATTTTTGTAGGTTACAAAACGTCAAACTTGCTGGCTTTGAAGGTCACCTTGAAGTGACAGCTGGGGTGGTCAGCAGACAAAATGTACCTAATAAAATGTGGGAGTTTTGGTAGTAACTATCTAAGATTTATTTTAAGATTTCTTCTTTTAAGTAGTTTTAAAACTATTCATGTATTTTGATTTTTTTACGAAGAAATGACGGATCGGAATCTACATAAATGAAATATCATAGATTGAACAAGATATTAATACCAAATCATACGATGATACTTAAGTGGCGTTGTGCGTTCGGCATACTTACGTTACGGCAACGGGCCGCTCTAATGGTCTCGCTAACAAACATATACTTAAATGATGAACACCCGACGGGCCGCCTGTTTAAGGAGTACTAGACGGATCAGATTACCTTAATAAGCAATCAGCGCTACCTATAGACATGTCCAATCTGATTTTTTTGATAGTACGGCAAACGAGCAGGCGGATTACCTGATGGTAAGCAATCAGAACCGCCCATGGACAGCCGCAACAACGGAGATGTCCGTTGCCGAACTTATGGGTTTACGAGATTTTGGGATTTCGGGTAGGAAAATAGAAGGGCAAAGGATTGTGCCTCCAGTAACCTCACTCACACGGCGAAACAAAATGCTGTGGTTGTTTCACACCGGTTTTCTGTGAGGCCGTGGTATCACTCCGGTCGGGCCACATATTCGTGTCGAAGCATGGCTCTCCTATGTACACGACACACTGTATGTGTCTTTTTAAATCTTTTTGGAGGTCGGAGATCTTGAGGAATTAAGGTTTGGCCCTGTTTGCACACTTTAATAAAAGACAACTTATAATAAAAACGTTTTATTAAACATATCTACATATATATAATCATCGAATAATATAAAAATATGGCTCTCACTCAATCACAATCACAATTTGAAATATTTATATTTCAAAGAATCCTAACAATATTCTAAAAGTAACAGATTGCCCTTCATTTAACACTATGTGTCTGCCACACTTACATCAGTTATGGAATGAACTTAAGGCCTGCTCCACTCAGGGGTGCAAGCTATAGTCCACATAGTAGTTGTAGCTCGGAGAAGGATAAGAAACGTTTTGGTATTTAACCAGTAAGAGATATACTCTCCCTCCCAACCCACCAAAGACAGGAGAAGTCAATTCATGATATTCGCCATTTAAAAAAGACAGAAAGGCAGTGTCAATAAGCTGTGTGTGCAGATTTCAAACAGAGCGAGGATCGTTAATAATTGATTTTTTTTTATGTAATAGTTCGGCAAACGAGCAGACGGAGTACCTGATAATAAGCAATCAGCGTCGCCCATGGACACCCGCAACGGAGGAGTTACGAGTGCGTTGCCGATCTTTTAGGGATTAGGGATTTGGAGACTCAGGGAATGAGGAGAGATTGGGGGAAGGGAAGGATTGGGCCTACGGTAACCTCACTCACACGGCGAAACACAACACTGTGGTTGTTTCACGCCGGTTTTCTGTGAGGCCGTGGTATCACTCCGGCCGAGCCGACCCATTCGTGCCGAAGCATGGCTCTCCCACACTTGAATTCTAAATAATCGCTCTTGAAATGACTTTCTCCATCCTTGATGAGAGGGAGTGTCTATCTCTTACTGATTATACAAGTTTTGGTGTTTAGGAGTAGCGGTAACAACTTATAAAAATAAAAACATAATATCTTACAAGTACCTTATAGAAAAATCAACATCAGCATATAATAATTATACTTATAACTAAATTTAACGACTGAACGGTTGGTGCGGTGGCTGGGCAACTGGCTGCCGTGCAACGAACAACTCTTTGTGTGATCCACAAATTGTTGTTTCGGGTCTGGGTGTCATGTGTATGTGAATTGTATGTTTGTAACCGCACCCACGACACAGAAGAAAATCCTAATGTAGGGCAACGTTTATCATAATTAACTAAACGCTAATTAAAAGTTTTATTTACCCGTTGGCCATGTGCTCATTAACGAAAAAGGAGGCTAAGGATTTGTAACGCACTTATAATAGAAGTTGGTTATCAAGTCAAAGTTTTCATAAATAGATATTTAACTTTATTCACAACATTGAAAATCTATTGAAAATCCAGTAAAGAGGATAACACTCACTGATCCATTTTGTCTTTATCAACTATGGGTCTATCGATTTAGGGGTTAACTAAAGGTAAACAATGTTGGCATGTCTTTTTACATTAAAGAGGTCGTATGAAATACAAACAAAGATTATTGAAACTTAGTTTATTAGCTAACATCGATTTATGTAAGGACCTGATTGTAAACGTTTTTAAATACAATTTTAAAACAACTTGTAGGTAAAAAGATATGCCAAGATTGTATATATTTAGTTAATTAAGTACCTGAACCGATAGACCATAGGAAATGCTTGCATTGATCAAGCTAAAAAGGAGTATTAATTAGTTTTTCAATATCTATTCAAATTCTATTTGAGCTCTAAGAATGACAATAGAATTGCAATTTAACTGGCAAAAAGTGGGTAAAAGGCATACTATTTGGTTAGACTGCACAGTTGGCAAAGTGGCTGCTGTGCAACGTGTCGCGGGTTTAATTCCCGCACGGAACAACACTTTGTGTGATCCACAATTTTTATGAACGCACTTACGACACAGGAACAAATCCTTATGTAGGGCAACATTTCTTTTTTGATGATAAGTCTAGGAAATAAAGGGCGTAATCCTAATCAAGGCTCAAAGGCGGACTTCCGTCAAACTCCTCAGCAAAATGATCAACATTACTATCATTATTATCTTTAACATCGAAATTAATCTTAATAGGATTTACATTCTTAACATAAGTCCTGTTCATAAGCACGGGACTACACACTAAATCAGAATCATTTAAATTACCACTTTTTCCGGGAGTTTTACTAGGTTTGGCAACATTGTCGCAAATGTCACTTTTGACAGTTTCGCTTTTCGACTTCGACGGCGGGATTTTTGGTGTATTACTTTGGTTGGGATTTAGCGGACTTTTGTATGAATTCGAAGCGTTTTTCGATCTATTAATAATATGGATTGTTGATAAAGGGGGTGGTTCTCCGTACATTTTTAGTTTTGCAATTTTCTCATTAACCTTTTTCTTTCGAAGTAAAACTTCCTCTGATAAATGTTGAGTGTCAGTTTGTCGGAAAGTGGACTCAAAATCTAACCCAGTAAGGTTGAAATTATCATCTTTAACCGGTCTAGCTAAAGGAGAATCGATGAATATTTTATTTTTAGAGAAATTATGGTCGCTATTATTAAACCTATAGGGTGATATGTTTTCATTATTACTCTTAACAACAGCGAAATTATTTTTCAACACAACACAATCCTCACAAAATTTTCTACGATCCAGGGCATTAAATTTCTTAGTCAAATCATGCACTAAATTCCTAGCAGACTCATTTTTGGGAGTCTTAGTAAAATACGAAAACTCCGTCACTCTGTATTGAGGGATACTCTTTCTGGTGTTGCCAGCGCGTTTCTGCAAATTCCCACAATAAATTATTTGACCAGTATCTAAAACGTTTTCGTAACCGAATTTCTTTAGACCGCCCCAGAAATTTATACAAATAATATTTTTGTTGGCATCTGAAAGGTAGACATTTTGGAAAGGTTGTTTAGTCAAGTCGAAATCGAGAATCGATGGATCGATTTGAAAGATGAAACCGACAGTATCGATTTCATTATAATCGGTTGACATTGATGGATTTTGGACTAGCTGATGTATAGCATAAATATTCCTCTTCAGTACTTTCGTGTAAGTTTTCAGAATTTCAGGTTCTTTGAATTTTGATATGCTAAAAATGGACTGTCTACCTGCTGAAATTTGGATTTCGTTGTACCTGAAAAAAAGGACGTAAAGCTGTATTAAATATTATTAATTCATAGATAGGTCATAGATATAAAGTGAAAGAGAGCCATGCTTTGGCACGAATTGGTCGGCGCGACCGGTTTAATACGACGGCCTCACAGAAAATGGCGTGAAACAACCACAACGTTATGTTTTGAGGTTAACGGAGGCTATATCCTATATCCTATAAGGCTATGAAACTACTTGAATGATTAAAAAAAAATTTCACTGTTGGGAAGCTTCACTATGTCCAGTGAACTTCTTTACTAATATTATAAATAGGTAACAGTAAGTTTGTATGTAGGGGGAAATCTTTGGAACTGCTGGTCTGATTTCCAAAATTTTTTTACTGATAGCTACAATGTTCTTATGTGCTGTATGCGTACACGGGAAGTAGTGCCTTCGGTAAGCAGGCGAAGCTGCGCTGCATAGCTAGTATTAAATATTTACCTCATAGCAGTAGGAACAACATTCAACACATCAATCCAGACTCCTTCCTTGATCATGTCCGTGACTGAATCAGCTGGTTTCCATATTGACATTAGGCCTGAAAACAAAATGTAACTCATTTCTTTTTATTTGTTCGAACTCCGCTCTTATTTCGATCGAACCCGCGGCGTGTATCGTGAGATTGGATACCAGATGAACCTGCTTATACATATATGTGTATAAGTAAAATTATTTATATACTTGACAAAAATACTTAGTACAATTCACGACGTTTTCAAAGACTTCTCTGTGAAGAAATGTCGAAACAAACTCAGAGGCCCGTCTCTTTTTAAATTCAGACAATGTAAATAAATAGTAACATATAGGTATTTTTATGACATAAGTTAGGTATTTTTTATGACATAGGTTTGCAAACGAACAGACTGATTACTTGATGGTTAACAATCAGCACCACCTATGGACGCTCAAGTACCAAAAGTTCTCGAACTACACATACGTTGCCAGCCTCTAGTGAAAGCGAAATCCCGAAATGTTGCCATTTAAATATCTAACTTACCCTTACTAATCTCCACTCCATTTCTCTCCGAAATACCAGCGACTCTTATTTTCAGAAGCATTACAACATTTCGTGAAACTTGAACTCCTACTTTCTCCATCTTTTCTCTTACTCTCTTCTGTACGTCTTGAAGGAGACGATCCCTCTGTTTGGATGTATGACCTTCTAGCAGTTTGGCTTGGGTTGATGTGAGACCAGCCTGAAATTCAAATGAATATAATTTGTTGCGATACCTTTTGATAACTTGTAGCATTAGAATTTAAAAGGTTATCTTCTGTTGTCTCAAAGGAATTGAGACTAATGAAAGGATTCTCATTTTGTAGTTTCCTAGGTAAAAATATAAATTACTAGCTTTTGCTCACGAGTTTGCTTGCGTAGAATAGTGGCTTTCTACAGATTATTGTATCCTATGTACTTTCTCGAGTTCCAAACTATGTCTGTACCAAATTTCACACAAATAGGTTCAGTAGTTTAGGCGGGAAGAAAAGACAGACTGACAGAGTTACTTTCGCATTTATAATATTCGTTTGGATTTAGACTTTTCAATACTATTTTTATGGTATAGGTCGGCAAACCAGCAGGTAAGGTAACCTGGTGGTAAGCAATCAGCGCCGCCCACGGACATCCGCAACACCAGAGGAGTTACGAGTGCGTTGCCAACCTTTTGGTGGTAAAGGTTTCGGATATTTAAGGATTGGGAAGGGATGTGGGGATGGGGAAGGATGGGGCCTCCTGTAACCTTGCTCACACGGCGAATCATTTGTTTTTACGTTGTATTTCGACATGTGAGTGAGGTTACAGGAGGCCCAATCCTTCCCAGCATCCTCAATCCTCAAATCCCAAAAAACCCACAAGAGATCGGCAACGCACTTGTAGTAAAACTTCTTTGGTACTACGAATGTCCATGGGGGGTAATCCGTATACTCGTTACCAGAATTCATGGCCGTGTTATCTTTTCGATAGATCAGGCCAGCCATGTGAAGGCAATCCACCCGCTTCACATGCTGCATGAGGGTGCACGAAACCTGGCAAGTACCAGTGGCAGTGGCTTTTTCCGAGTTATATGTACTTTCTATGATTATTTAGACACCACTGACATACTGTCAAGGTAAACATCGTGAGGAAACCTGGACTTATAATTTCTAATTTAAAGTTTGAAATCGCCAAACCGCATTGAGCAAGCGTGGTGATAAATGCTTAAACCTTCTCCGTGTGAGAAGACGACTTTGCTCAGCAGTGAGCACTTGTAGGCTGATGATGATGATGATGTGAAGGCAGTCATACAAGAAATATTCATCAATACTCACCCTAAACTCCTCGGGGTCTCTACTTCTTTTCATAACCTTAGCTATTTGCGATCCGCTGTCCAGACAAAGCCTTTTACTACATGACTCTGAATAACCTTCGGAGTCTTGAGATTCCTGTAAAAACATTACAAAAATTATAAAATTTTGCTTATAATAAACTAGGAAATCTGGCTGCGATTCCCGCACGGAACAAGTCTTAGTGTGATCCACAAATAGTTGTTCCTTGTCTGGGTGCGATGTGTATGTGAAATTGTTTGTTTGTAAACGCACACACGATACAGGTGAAAATTATAGGGCAAAAAAAATTGCTTACCATCAGGCGATCCATCTCATGTGCCGCCCCATCCCATAAAAAATAACTGACCTGATCTGAAAATTCCCTTTCAACTTCTTCGTAAATCCTCTCCATGACGGCCTGTCTTTCAGCTTCAGTCTTCACCTGGTGCAGATGTTCTAGACGTTCCGATCTTGTCACTGGAAAGGTTGGAAATAATACAAATGATATACAATGTCAATGTCAGCCCTACTTTTTACCAGTTATGTCAGGAATCACAGTACAGCAAAATAGGGAGGAGTCCATTGTCATATAGGTACCGGAAAAACTTAACGATTTCGTGATGATTTTTGAAAAAAAATCCTAAAATGTCCTATCTAACTTAACCTGAGGACCTACCATATAAGAGTCATTTGAATCAAAGTCCCTCACCCTCCACCCAGGGTGAGAGTAAGTATCAAACCCTTACCGATTAACCAACCACCCCTTCTTCTGGTCGAACTAAGCCCCTTGCTCGGCAATCACAGTAGCGGACACCCGAGACAGACAATTTTCGCATTAAAACCCATCCCAAAGCTACATCATTCTTACACCACCTAAAATAAAGTTCAAAATACCAAACATAAGCATACCAGTGCTTCCATCTTCGAATTTCTCCACATACAAAGCAGGATAAACTCGAGTAACAAAAACTCTTAGCTTCGACACTTTCCCGCCATCAATTTTGACAGATGACAGTTGAGACAAGATGGCGGCATTGCCATGGTAACCGAGACGTGCGTCCCAACGGGCTCGACGTGTGGAGTTGCCGAAAAGTTTCAAGCGTATCGCAGATATGTCCTGGAATGGCAGAAGAATCAATTATTATTATACTTTTTAGTTTGTTTAATCAAGGATGTCAAATATCTTTAAGAATGATATTTTTCAAGACAAATTTGTATTTTAACGGCTTTAAGAATATGTTTAGTTGTATTATTACGGTCTATCGGTTTTTGGCAATTAACCAAATCTAAACAGTTCTCAAGTCAAGTCAACAATAAGGCGCATTAATTATTTATATATACTTTATTGCACACATACACCAAATAGCAATACATTGGATACTATGACCGAATGTTGTGATTACAATGGGCGGTCTTATCACACAAGGTGATTTCTTCCAGACAACCTTTAGATGGAAATGTATAAAAGAAATTAATAAGTAATTGTACCAACCTCCCACGGAGAAACGCCTTGCTCGCAATTAACCAACTCAGCACCATTGGTGACAAGCTTGGTGCCAACCACTATCTTCCCTTGGCACACATATTGGGCCAACATTTTGTCAATATTGGCTTTGATGCAATACCAACCATCAGTTAACAGTAGTTCCATATTGTTCGTTGAGGACGCACTGAAATGTGTGTACATCATCATCATTAGTATAATTTTTCCTAAAAATAAGCCCTCTTTTGTGAGGGGAAAATCATCATATGAGAGAGTGTCAGACTTTTACTGACTTAACCGCACCCCTGTTCCCTCTCCTGTTTTAGGTGGAGGCCGCGGTGCATAGAACAGTGTCTTACATATTCGAAGTAATAGGTAATCAGAACAAAAAGTATCCGGGAGTGATTGAGTGCTTTGTTATGTAACGTAACGTAACGTAACGTAACGTAACGTAACGTAACGAAACGCAACGTTAACCTATGTGACTAAAATTATTGTATGAGACGAATAGAATTGTGAAGTATCACACACAAACCTGAGACGTTTAAAGTGACACTGAATCAGATAAAAGCATATAAAAAAATATTTTTGACAGTTAAAAATAAAATTAATAAAAAATTTAATATGGGTAAAATAATTTCTTACCTGGTAACACTAACGCCATCTTGGTATATTTCAACGACACAAAGTACAAGAGTCTTCGACGGGACATCGTCCTTTTCAAAAATCTTTCTCAACGCCGGTCTCTTAGCGTTAAATAGTTCTACGTCATAACGGAACTTTAATTGATCTATCACATTTTTGGCTGTACAGAATAAACTTTTGAATTTCACCTCGTAAGATATTAGTTTCCACAATATCAATTTTAAATGGTTGTCTAACCAACCATTCGGTATTAATTTACAATTTACCGAATTACTGAAATATTCTTTTAGAGACTCTATCGTCAAATCGCTATCTGTTAAATCGTTCCTTTCGTTTTTAAACACGAATGTTAACAATTGATCAAATCGAAACTTTGTCAAATACGCATCGATTTTCGCATTGAAAGTTCGGGTAATTTTTTCTAAATCTTTTAATGTATATTCTTTTTTTAGCTTATAATTTTCATTGAACTTTATTTTATTTCTATCATTTGCTTTGATCGTTTCTTTTTTGGGAACAACTGGTAGTTTTTGAGAGTATGGCGTCTCGAATTTTCTCCGCTTTTTCGCCTTCGGGCATGATAGAATCGGACTCGAAGGCCGTTTTGTTTTCACGGGTGTTTCACGAAAATCTTCAGTATGTAAGCTTTGATTGAAATGATCTAAAACTTGTGTATTGATAATGTTTTCTATTCCTTCTAGTACATTTTTTGTTGTGTCTTTTGGAGTGTCCACATCAGCAAATGACCTTTGAGTTCTTATATCGTAGGCTGTTTTAATACCATCGCTGTTTTTTGAACCAAATTTTAGTTTAGAAACAATTTTTACGTCATTTCGCATATTATTTTCATTTTCTGTAAGTGGTTTTCGATTTTGATGTATGTTATCTTTTCTCGGCGCTACTTTCTCATCTTCCGTTCGGAATACAGATCCATCTTTGAGTTCTTTTTCAAATATTTTCACAGCATCAATCAAAGCTTTTTGTGATAATTCCATCTCTTCGTTATCAATTGCTTTAAATCCGTGAAATTCTGGTTCAGGCTCATCCTGTACAGTTTCTAAATCTTGAAAGAGTTTTCGATTTTTAGCCAACGCTTCCTCTGATATGACTACAGGCTTTTTATTAGCTGTCTGAAAGCCTTTGAAAATAGGACTTGTTTCAATACATAGGTTATGATCAGTTTTAGGTTCTTTATCATCATTTGTAATGTTTATGTTATTAATGTCTTCGTCTTTATTGCCTTCAATATTTTGAAATATTTTTCGTGATTTTTGTAAAGCTTCTGCGGAAATTTCGACTTTCTTGTTACTAGCTGTTTGGAAGCCTTGAAATTTTGGTACTTTATTCGGGTTTACATCAACATTTTTATCTCCTGGGCTTAGGGGGCATTCGGCTTTACTACAAGCATTCACTTCTTTATTTTCGTCGCCTATTTCTATATCTGGATAATCTTCTTTCGGTTTTTTACTGGCTTCAAATTCAAATTCTCTAAATCTTTAAATATATTCTTAGTTTTGGCTAAAGCCTTTTCAGAAACTTTAATAGTCTTGTTATTAGCTGTTTTGAATCCACCAAAACCAGTACTTCCTATAGGTTGTATATCTTCTTGTAAACTTGGATAGGAAAGTTTTTCCTCATTTTTTTCTGCGTTTGCGTCGAAGTCAAAAGTTTCAATATCTTTGAAAAAGTTTTTAGTTTTTGCTAAGGATTGTTTAGAAATCTGTATTTGTTTGTTGTTAGCCGTTTTGAAGCCTATGAAACTTGTTTTGCTAGTTGACGGGGCATATGCATCTTTAGTATCCGACACCTCTATTTTATCCACATATTTTGTATCTTTCAAATAGTCATAAGCTGTACGTGGATCGCCAAAACCGATTTCATCAATGTCTTTAAACAGATCTTTTGTTTTTGCTAAAGATTCTTTTGAAATGCTAATTTTCTTATTATTTGCTGTTTGGAAACAGCAAATAATAAGAAAATTAGCATTGGCACTTGTGGAAGGTTTATTAAAGTCATCAATTTCAACTTCCGTTGCATTTATTTCCATTTTTTGAGGTACGCTTAAATCATTTTCTAAAATATCTTTGAATATGTTCCTTGTTTTAACCAAAGCTTCTTTGGAGACATTAACTTTTTTATTATTTGCAGTTTGAAAACCAACAAACCTAGCTTTACTAGTCGAAGGTCTATTCAAATCTGTAGCTTCAACGCCTTCTTTAACTGCATTTTTTTACATTTTTCACGTGTTTCAAAGGATGTTTAAAGTTATTATCTTCAATGTCCTTAAATATATTTTTGGTGTCAGCCAAAGATTTTTCTGATATATTGACTTTTTTATCGTTACTTGTTTTAAATCCTTCAAAGGCTTTTGTTTTACTAGTTTCAGTATTTAAATTAGTATATTCTTTAGTTTCCGTGGATTTTTTTGGATAACTGAAATTATCAGAATCGATGTCTTTGAAAATGTGTTCAGTTCTAGCCAAAGCTACATCAGATATTTTAATATTCTTATTGCTTGCTGTTTTAAACCCAACAAAACTAGATCCACTTGGAAAATCTTTAGGGTCTTTACTATTTTTTGTATTTTGTTTAAATTCATCAGGTATTTTGAGGTCTACTGCATCAATGCCTTCAAATACTTTCATAGTTTTAGCTAACGCTGCTTCGGAGATATTTATGTGTTTATTATTTGCCGTTTTAAAGCCCGTAAAACCATTACTAGGAGTAGGTTTAGCAACGATATCTTCTTTATCACAAGTTTCTTTTGTTTCCTTCTTAGGAAGTTCTATATTATCAATGTCTTGAAATAAATTTTTAGTTTTAGCTAAAGCTTCTTTAGATACTTTGATATTTTTGTTACTAGCAGTTTTAAAACCAACAAAATCAGACATTTGATTTGATATAGCTAACACTGTTTCAGAGGAATTCGCTTCTTTATTTATAACTTTATCAGGTTTATTAGGAAACTGTATATTATCTAGATCCTGAAATATATTCTTAGTTTTACTTATAGCTTCTTTAGAGATTTGTATATTTTTATTACTGGCAGTTTTGAATCCTCCTAGATCAATTGCAGATTTCAATTTTTCATTGCTATTTACTGGATCGTTTTCGTCAAATATGTCGTCTTCCAGCTCTATTATATCAAAATCTTCATTCAAATTGATATCTTTGAATACATCTTTTGTTTTTGTTAAAGCCGTATCTGCTATTTCTATTTCTTTATTACTAGCTGTCCTAAAACCTATAGGAGCTATTTTATCTTTATCTTTGTCATCATTTAGAGACATTTCAATATTTTCAAACTCTTGTATAAGAGCATCATCAATGTTTTGTATCTCATCTTCTATGTTTAAATTAACTTCCGTTTTTTGTTTAATTTCTCCGCCTTTCTCAATTTCTTCAATATTTTCATCATCAACCATTCTTTTATCAAAATCTTCATTAATATCAATATCTTGGAACACCTTTTTACTTCGTGCTAATGCTTTTTGAGATAGTTTAATTTGTTTGTTACTTGCTGTCATAAAACCTTTAAAGATACTAGGATCTTGCTGTCCCGTATCAGCTACCTTTTCCATTTCTGTTCTACTGTTAAAAATGAACTCTGTATTTTTGACATCAAAGTTTACTTCAGTTTGTTGCTCATCTTTAGTTGTATTATTGATATTACTCTCGCAATTTTTAACCATATCAGTGACAGTAACATTATCATCATCAACATCGCCTAATATGCTTTTGGCGTGTGCAAAAGAATCTGTGAAGATCTGTATAGATTTATTACTAGCTGTTTGGAAGCCGACATACATAGTTTTGTCTAAAACATCGGGTTGGTCGTAAAACGAAGTTTCTAGCGCACACGTGAAAGGTATATCTTGTAAGCTCTGTTGAGCCAAATCTTCTTCATCACTACTGAATAAGATCTCATCTTTTAAAACTTCCTTAACTTCTTTTAATCTTTTACTATCATCTTCCATTGCCTCTTTAATTAAAGTTTCAGTAGTAGCCTTATCTAGATTTATAACTTCAACGTCTGTATCAGAGTTTTTGTCTAAGAGTAGCCGTGTTTTAAATTCTTTGTTATTTATTTTAGATTTAGCTTTACTAATTAAAACTGGACTCTGTTTTGCATTCAATGCTATTTGTTCGTCCATTTGTATGTGTAATTCTTTATCTAGAATCTGTGAATTGATGATTTTCTTTGATATTTTGAAATGGTCGCCTATTAAAACTGGTTCAGACTGCTTTTCGAATTCTTCAAACTTTTCTAAACTAAATACCATTGGGGAAGGCGTTTTTGATTTCGGTTTTGTAACTTTTTGAACAAATATTGGACTGAGAGGTTGCTCAATGGCTAAATCATCATCATCAATTTCTATAATGTTTACATGTTGTATATCAGTTCCAAAATCATTTCGTCTTTCATGATTTACAGCTAGTTTTTCATTTTTTACTCTATTACTGTTAATCATGGGAGAAATTAGACTTACAGATGTATCCACCTCAACATTTCTATCTTGAAAATTATTATCACAAACATTTACATCTTCTTTATCTCTTTCAGGTTCTCTATTATCATCCACTCTATCATCATCAACATCCACACACCTATTGTTACCTTCTCCTTCTATACCATTTTCCTCTTCATCCAGAACCTTCTCAGTGTGATGACAGAATGTTGTTTCAAATTCCTGTGTCATTCCTTGATGGATGTCAATGATTTCTGCATCCTCTATTATGTTTATAAGTTGTGTGTCTGTTGCGAATTGGGTGTCGAATTTTGTTTTTGGCGGCTGGAAAAGGGATTTTTTAGTTTATTATTATATTTTAATAATGAGGTTGTCATGAGCTGGATGTTAAGGTTCCAACTTCTCATAATTGAGCTTATAAGAGCAGAGCACTGAGCAGAACTTATAAAAAACTATATTACTTATCCACCTTGAAAGCATTGTGATTATTGCAAAAACCTTCTCCGTGTGAGAAGAGACTTTTGTTTAGCAGTGAACACTTAAAGGGTGATGGATAATTGTCTATGATATTAACCAAGGATGAATTAACAAACAATTTAAATTACATTGAAAAAAAACCGGTACTTATATTATCCGGTCTTCTGTGATGCAAGCTCAATTGAGGTGCACACAATGGGACAGAACTTTTCACTAATTATCTTAGAAGTCTTATGTCGTTTGGAATAAAATTAATAAAAAAAGTAACATAGTTTTGACAAACTCAATCTATTCCATTTCTATGGCTAGGTACTCATTGACTTTTAAGCACCTGGAAATACTACCTAGTAATTTTTGGATATGGATTATAGTCTGACAAAAAAAATGAGAAAAGACAAACAAACATGTTTTTGTTTGTTAATTTCTAAATAAATAGGAGTGGCAACTCACCTGAAGGTAAGGTAGAATTAAATTAAAATTTAACAATAAATTACAATAATAGGTTATAAGAAGTACAGATAAAAACAAACAAAAACTATTTTTTTATAGATAACAGATTCAAAGTAACACTAACCGTTAAACTTACCTCATCGTTCACCGGTAAATTACTGACACTTAGAAAATTTGAGTTTTTACACTTTGGTAAAACTCTAGACACAAATTTGTTACTTTTTACTGTATCAGCCACTTGAATCGCTTTTAACTGAAGGGAAACACTTGAAATCACATCTTGCGGCTTATATTTATGTTTCTTTTGATGATCAGTATCATTATAAAGCCCTAGACAGCGTTTTTCACTATTTTTCTTTAAAATTAATTCAAAGTTTTGTATTGGATCACTCATCGTATTTTTCGTCAGAAATTGCTGCCAATATTGACTGTGTAAAAGCTATTTTAAAATCCTTATGTAGTTTCTTAATTTCTTTTGTGGGAATTATTAAAAATATTAGTTTCAAAAATAATTTTAGCGCGAATTTATCTATAAAAACATTTCTATTTACGTCCTCAATTTGACAGATGAGCTCATTAAACATTCCATTTCCTGCAACAGAGAATTCACTTCTTCAAAATTTGGATTTAATTAAATATACTAATTAAAACTGGACTCTGGATATGAGTCAAAACATTTATATTAAATAATAACTAAATATTTTTGCACACTTTTATGAGGTATAATGTCATAAAGATTACAAACCAAATAAACGGCGAAGCTTTTAGAATCTCGAATTGCGTGTAAAGGAGAGTGGTAATTTCCGTTCAGAAATATAAAAAACTTATTTAAAATTGAAATGTGAATTTAATAATAATTACTGTGAATTAAATTAATAATGTTGTCTCATGTTCTTTACAATATCTCTCATTTTACTACCCTTGAGTTACAAACTGTAAAACAATACATAAAAATAACGAAAAAAATCATTCCTCAATTATAATCTGTGTGGGTCTCACTTTCAGAACGAGCATCAAGAAGCTTCGTTACGGCGTTTGTAATTCTGGAAAAATAGCGATAAAAGAGTATTTATCACTAAATACGAATTAAAACACACACAATATACCTCAATTTGCCTAACAATCATTAAACATGGTAAGTAAACCTATATTTCCACTGTATTTAACTGATGAAAATGGCGGGTAAAATGTAGGTTATTTTTTAGTCTCACACGATTTTGTTGGTGCAACCTGGCCCGAGGCCGGAAACCAGGACGTATTCTGACTACGAGAGCGTCAACGACTGTATGGAAGGAGTATGTAAAATATACGAAGAACATTTAAAAAGAAGAAACCCAAATACGCCGACTATTACCTATGACATATCTCAACTCTTCGATTTTATTGACCAGGTAAGTTTATTACTGTAATAAAATACTTTTAAAACGTGTACAAATATCGTTAACATAGTTACAAGAACTAATTTCAATTTGATTTACAAGTTCATGACGTAAAGCTGTAAAAATGCTGATGCTAAGACTCTTGAGAAGTATCGGATTTCCAAGTCGTTCGGCTTTTACTTTTAGTTAGTTATCAAGCCTTAACTCATGGTAGTAATCATGGTATTATTAAATAGACAGACTTAAACTATCTCACCACCAGCTAAAACCATATTTTCAAGGAATTGTGTTAGGATTTAAAACTGTGGTATTTTTTAAACCATGATCAGCGGCCTAAATCTGCCCATTGCTGAGCACAAGCCTATTTTCTGATCCTATACAATGTAAAACATTTATTAACATTAATCACCATGCTTGCTTAAAGTGAACAAAAACAAATTTACCTTTACAATGTATTATAAGTCCAAGTTATCCACACGATTTTCTCTTTACTTCATATCAATAATGTCTTAACGATCTTGGTAAGTTCATATAAGTCCCGATTAAATTTTCTAATAACGAAAACCGTAGCACGCATTTGTAGCCATTCTTACACTTTCTATGATGAAAACAAACCTTTTAAAATGCTATTTCCAACTTGCCTCCTGTCACACTTTACATATTATCACAAACCTTTTTATGTTGAGACTTCTCAAAGGTCAGTAGAGGTCTATAATAAGTAGTTGTATTGGTGAATATATCTTCTCAAGTACATCTAACTCTACCTTTAAAGATAACTGGCAATAAAATGCTGTTTCTCCAATCTAAAATTGTATATCACTACATTCGCTTGTCTCCCTATCATCATCATCAGCCTGATGTCGTCTACTGCTGGACATAGGCCACTCCAATTGCATGCCACTGAGCTAGATGTTAAGTTCTTTTCATCCAACCACTGCCATCCACCCTGCGGATGTTGTCTGTCCATCTAGCTGGAGGGCGCCCCTTCACTATGTTTGCCTAGATGTGGTCTCCCCATTGTTGCTAAATTCAACTCTAAAGTTCTAGGCTTTCCTAATAAGCTGTTGTTTATCGCCTTAGTTATAAAACAGTCACATTTGCTGTCCCTTATATCCCTATGAATGCT